CAATTAAAATCTAAAAAAATGTTGATTTTTTTTTCTAATCAACATACCAGTCCGATCAGTATTAATGACGAAGTCTATATCAAATTTAGGCATCAGATGCAATGTCTGTATTCGAAAAGTTTCTGCAGACTTTAAAATTTCTTCCAAAGTTGATGTTTCCTTTTGCGACACATATTTTGTAATTTTTCTTTGACGTATTTTATGTTCTTTTTTTAATTTTTCCACCCACCGTTTGGAAGCTTTAAATTCGAAGTCTTTAAACTGCCCAGCGGCAGATAAAGCCCACTGCTGTAAATTTCTGGTAGTTATTTGATGAAAATTTTTCCTTGCTTCCAACAAAGCGATCATATGTCCAGGAATCAATAAGTGCATATTTATCAAATTTATTTCCTCCCTTTTTATGATATCTTCTTCCCATTTGGGTAAATGCTCTTTTTTAAACGACTCACATCCCCTACTGTGTAACGTTTTAATACTCCAAGTAGGATGCTTTTTTGCCATGTTTACTGTTTTTATTTTATAATCCAAAGGGATATGTTTTATGTCTCTCTTTTTTTCTTCAGGCTCATACTGTCAGTTGAGGAATCGACTTCAACTGATTCCCAAAAATACTCTTCACATACTTCCGTTAGCATGTATGAGCTCTTCACCGCATCGTATTTTTTCAGCCAACATGTCGACAGCGTAGTTGTAAAGTTCCTCCCATCAGCATAGCTTCATGAGAAATGGAACCTGAGTATTTTGAAGTAATCAAATTATTTCTTTTTAAGCAAGGTTTTAAATACTCAACTGCATCTGTTAGCCTCAACTTTGAATTTTCACTATACAGATGTTTGTAACTGCTTGTACAGTAACAATATCTTTATTCACAGACATCTTCAATATGTTATACAAACTATTTATATTATATGTGATTTATGTAAAATAATATCTATCGAAACACTACAAACTCTCTTAAAAAATCCAGAAATAAACTAACAAAAGTTATATTGTAAAATCAAAATCCGTTATCCTAATGATTTCTCCTTTATTGGAGCATTCTTGTTTTAAAAGAATTTTTTGTTCTTAAAAGAATAACACCTGCTCTTAAAAACAGCTCTTTCTTTGCACACAAAATCGTTTTGTTAAAAAGAAGTAAAATTTATGGTTATTTAGGTATATGGAATAATTTTAAAAATACAATTAATTAGAGATTTTAATGACAGAAGTAATTGTATAGTTATATACCCATATATTAGTTGTTTTTTGTGTTTAAAAAAGTGAACTAGATACTATACTCATATAGAATATCATTTAAAAAATCAATGAATCTTTTGTAGAAAATAAATCATTTAATTCTGAAAAATAAATTGTGGAGAAAAAAAATAAAACAAAATGCGCCCACGGGAATAGAACCGGTCCTTTAGATAGCACTGGATACGCTGACGATCACGCTACGGAGACGTTGTATCAGGAGAAACTGTATATAAGCTTAGTATGAATTTCGAACGCTGTTTTCTCGGAATTGACTGCCCATTCGACGGAGTTGGGGGTTTGAATACCCTATAGCAGTACTACAGTTACACAAAGTCTCGTCCCAAAAATGAATTTCCTTAGTCGTGCCTCCCTTGTAAGTAAACATGAGTACTTAAATCTCGCGACAAGCTTTATATCATAAATTGTGTAATGACGTTATGTTGATAGCAAAAAGTTTTAAAAGAAAATTTATTTTATTTTTTCAGAGCATTTAAATAAAAGCTTGTTTTAAAAAGTTTTTTACTTTTAATTTATTTTAAATCCAGTCTTTCGAAAAAACTTACGCGTTAGACCAAAATATTTCTTTTCTTCGTGTCTTCTAGCGTAGAGAATAACTTGTACCTTGGATAATTTTTTCCCAACACAGTAGGAGAATAATATTACAAATTATAAACAATATTTATTACTCTGAAACATGTCCAACTGAATATTGTGTTTAGTATGCGCAAGAACGGTACATCAAATAAAAATGAGTTCTTTCGAATAAGTACCAACAATATTTGTACTTAAACACGCAAGAAAACGGGATTTTCATGGCCAAATATAGCGAAATTTGGTGATTTTATTTTTGATTCAATGAAATTGGTCAACAATATATATATTAGGTTGGGGAAAAGAAATTCATTTTTGGTAGATGGTGGATGTAGTGTCGATATTCGTGAAGTTTATCGATCACACAATTTCCAATTTATAATTGTCAAGGTGACATTTTACAATAAAAAAACCTCTTTTGCTATTTTTGTCTAGTCCATTCAGTTGTGAGTTACAGGATGTTCAAAATGGAAGTCAACAAAGAGAAAATTCGGGTATATTTTACAAGTTTTTCTTTGATAAAGGCAAAATGCAAGCTAGGTGGCTGAAATTGTGAATGGTGTTTATGGTGCCGATACTGTAACAGCTAATTACGTGCAGTTTTGGTTTCGTCGATTCCGTTCAGACATTTTTTGATGTTAAAGATGCACTCGCACAGGCAGTTCGTCATCGAAAATGTCGATAAACTCTCAGAAATAATCGAAGTTAACCGGCATGTTAGTAGTCGTAGTATCGCCCAGAAGCTGAAGATAGACCATAAAACGAAGTCTTAAGCCATTTGTATAAAGTTGATTCAAAAGAAGCTCGATGTTTGGTGCCATACCAATTAACACCAAAAACATGATGGATCGAATTTCTATCTACGGTCTTGGTCAAACGGAATGAAATCGATCCCTTTCTCTGAAATTCCGGGTGATGACTGGGGATGAGAAATGGGTCACATATGATAATATTGTGCGAAAAATCATACAGGGCAAAGTGCGGTGAAGCAGCTCAAACGGTGGAAAACCAGGACTAACGGTCAGGATGGTTCTACTGTGTATTTGGTGGCATTGGAAAGGAATAATTTATTATAGGTTTCTTCCGTACGGACAAAACACTAAATTCAGATCTCTACTCGTCATTAACTGGATCGTTTGAAGCCAGCGTGATTAACCCAAAACGGCCAGAATTACACAGAAGTGGTGTTGCGCTCCTATCAGGACAACGCCAGACCACACACGTCTTTAGTGACTTGCCAGAAACTCTGGGAGTTTTGTTGGTAAGTTTTAATGCATCCACCATATAGTCCGGACCAGGAACCAAGCGATTACCACCTTTTTCTCACATTGCAAAACTTCCTGAGTGATAAGAAATTGGGATCAAGAGAAGATTGTGAAAATCGATTGCTGGAACTTTTCGCCAATAAGGACCAAGACTTCTATGAGAGAGACATTATGAAGCTACCTTTAAAATGGCACCAAATTATACAACAAAACGGTGCATGTTTGACTTAAATCGGACAATCGGAAGCATGTTAAATAAAGTCTTGAATTTTATGCAAAAATAATGGATTTCTTTTTCCCACCCCACTTAATACGTAAGCAATGATAACTCTAGTGACCATCCTGCCATGAGCTTATAAATCCGAATGCCAACTACCAGGCCCCGAACATAAGTTTAAAGAAAAATTTCTTAAGAATGAGTGATTTTACACAATGAGATACATTTGTACACCCCTCACTAGATTGCAATATCGGACCAAAAGTTTAGTATCGGTATTCGGTATTTTTTAGATCTTAATACCGGGATACCGGTTTTAATACCGGTAGTAGAAGTCTTAGGAAATGAAAGAAAATACAAGTGTTTCTCTGTTTTATTTGTCAATTTTATTAGAGTGTAAATATCACAAAAACTTAATTTGTAACCTTTAAATTTTAACAATATATAAAGAATCACAAAAAAGTAAACGAACATCTTATTTATTTAAATCGCAAAAAGAGTGTAAATATCACTATTCTCAGTCTGTGATACTCTTACAAATATTTGAAATTGTGATCTTAAAAAACATAATGCATTAATTGTACTGTCATTAAGCCTGGAATTTAATTATGTAATAACTACATTTAAACTCTACCTCCCTTGACGATTAGCAACAGCCAGGGGGCACCACTTGTTCTTTTGAAAAGTGGGATTTCCTTCTGCCCTGGATCACCCCCGAAGGAAGACGTGTACACGAGGAGTCAGGGAATGCCTGTTTCCCTTCTTTAGTGTTTAAGATCATTTTCTCTAACTACTTTAATAGACGTGTGCTGTTTTTATTAAGTGACCCCTTGTGTTGTGGAACGTAATAAAATTAAAAATAAGAATTGTTCCTCTCTGTAATGAAATGCCTTCTTTATATTTTCAATACAACGAAGACACGACATGAGGGATTGTCATAGTGCACACTATCAGCTATCGAAAACGCTCTTTCGGCATCTACGCTAGTTGGTGGCACGTTGGCAATACACGATATACTTTTCCGTTATTTACCTCTAAATCTCTCATCTTCAAATAAATCGATTTCGTTGATGGTTTCTGTATGTAGCTGATTTTGTATTGTATTTTGATTTGTTGGAATTTTTTTTTACTTATCGCTAATTCTAATTCTGTTCAAGAGACACCCTTTCCAGTATCAACATTAGTGTCATCATCATCTTCGATAACTGTACCGAAATCTTCTGAATGTGGATAAGGTTTGTGGGTAACAAATTTTAAGAACATTTACTATAAACTTGATCAAATTTGAATTGGTTAGTCACTTTTTTCATTTATAAATTCCTGATATGTAAATGCACAAGTATGATATGTAAATACAAACTACCTAATTAAAAAAAAGTGTGTGTGTACTTATGTAAGCACGTAAGAAATTATACTTCTTGGTGTAACCAGAGATAAAAATCTTTTAGCAAGGGGCAAGCTGGCCAAGGACTGCGTAACGAGCAGAGTTGAACGTTACTAACCTTCAGTCAATCGGATCAGCCAAACCCGAGATAATCACGATTTAAATAAATTTAAACACCCCGCGCAGGACACAGGGATCAAATATGGAGAGGGGGTTGAAAGGGAATGATCTGTCCTGTTCTGCATATTTCAGACAAAGTATTTTTCGTATCCGTCTTACGGAACACAAAGCAAAGGTTCGCAGACGCGGTTGTATAGCTCAGTGGTAGAGAGCAATCGGCTGCAGATCGAGAGGTTCCGGTTCAACCCCGGGTGTCCCTTCTTCAGGAAGTGAAAAGAAATATTTTCTGAGAATTTTGAAGGCGGGAATGATTTGTTCTGTTGGCGCATATTTCTAGACAAAGGATTTTCACATTCGTTACGGTGTGCGCGCGCATTGTAAAGAACTACCCTCATCTCCTATTTCTCTAACGCCCCCAAAAAAAAAAAAAAAATAACTTCAAAAATATCGAAATATTACGCTTTTCCTTCACAACTACAACCTTGTTTTCACAGAAATGAATATCAGACTACTAATTCTGTGCGTGTGCAATATCGCGCTCTGATCTGTAACACAATAGTTTCGGCCCCCTTGGATAATTCACACATATTTTATCACTTCTTTTGGTTGTACAATGCAACTTTATATTCTCAGTCTAATTAATTTCACCGTTAGGGAGACGTAAAAACAAAAACGTATACTATTTGTTGCTGGCAATCTTGAGAATATAGTGATACAGTTTAAAAAATTTCTATTAAATACTGAAGAGTCCGTATTCAAACTTGTGAATACCGGTATACACAATTGTACAAATGGCTCAAATACCAGTATTCGGTATCCCGGTATACCGGTATTGCAAGCCCTTATCTCTACATAGCTGTAAATTGAAATAAAAAAAAAATGTTAAAAATTTTTAATAATGGAAGGCTTTTATTTCTGCGCATTAAATCTAATTTGTAATTAATTAAACAAAGTAGCATTTTAATTTTAAACTATCTAATACGTAACATCTATCATCTGGAATTAATCTCCACTCTGTAAACTTCCACATCATGCTAACTAGAAGACTTTGACTTTCAAAAGTTTTAATGGTCATCAGCCCCTCTACTTGGATACGGTTCACGGTGTACCAGGACTCTTGCCCTCAGTTTGATAGAAACATCGCCGATCATGGATTTGTCGCCATGATTATTCGGTTATCACATCCCCGTCATGACCACGTACTACATTCATCCATAATAGGATTGATTTACTGAATTAGTAATCACAAGAATATATTTGAGCTCTTAATGTTCTCTACATCTTTTAGAACATCTTGCAATATGTCGTCTGAATATATTATAAATCATTCCTTCTGTTGATAGGCACAGCAGTTCTATACGGCTTCACATGTATGGAATACAATGGTTTTGTGCAGACGAGTATTTTTCTCTTGATGCTACGCATTTGTGAAAAAATAAATAAGCCAGTATTCAACTTTACATATTTCTTTAATGTGTAAGGAAATATTTGAAATAGACATGAACAGTAAACACATACTGAATTTTAAACTTGTCTAAGCATAAGCATTGTTGAAAATAAACATTATATTTTGAGCTACGTCATTAGAGAATCCTCAAAATTCGTTCACCTCTATATTTTTTTAAAAAATTGATAATAACTCATTTTCTCCTTCATAAAATTTTATAAAATACATTCATTCTTCCAAGTTCTTTAATAGCATTCATTACCACGTGAATAACTACCGAAACCATATAGAGATTTTTATTGGAAAATATCCAAAAAGTAATTTGCATTTAGTTAAAAAAGAAAAGAAAAAACGAAACTTGTTCATCTATTTATTCCAAGATTTCTAACTACTTTAATAGATGTGTGCTGTTTTATTAGTGACCCTTGTGTTGTGGAACGTAATAAAATTAAAAATAAAAATTGTCCCTTCTTAATGAAATGCCTTCTTTATATTTTCAATATAACGAAGACACGACATGAGGGATTGTCATAGTGCAATAATTACCAGCTATCGAAAACGCTCTTTCGGCATCTACGCTAGTTGGTGGTACTGTTAGTAATACACGATATACTTTTTCCGAGTATTTACCTCTAAATCTCTCATCTTCAAATAAATCGATTTCTCGTTGGATGGTTTTGTATATAGCTGATTTTTGTATTGTATTTTGATTTGTTGAAACTTTTTTAGTTATCGCTAATTCTAATTTGTGTTCAAGAGACAATTCCTTTCCAGTATCACACACAACATTAGTGTCATCATCATCTTCGATAACTGTACCGAAATCTTCTGAATGTGGATAAGGTTTGTGGGTAACAAATTTTAAGAACATTTACTATATTTGATCAAATTTGAATTGGTTAGTCACTTTTTTCATTTATAAATTCCTGATGATATGTAAATGCACAAGTATGATACGTAAATACAAACTACCTAATTAAAAAAAAAGTGTGTGTGCACTTATATAAGCACGTAAGAAATTATACTTTGGCGTAACAAGATTAAAATCTTTAGCAAGGGCAAGCTGTGCCAAGGACGAAAGGCGGTCACGAGCAGAGTTGAAGCTTACTAACCTTCAGTCAATCGGACCAGCCAAACCCGAGATAATCACGATTTAAATAAATTTAAACACCCCCGCACTGGGACAATAGGATCAAATATGGGGAGGGGGTTGAAGGCTTGAATGATCTGTCCCGTTCTGCATATTTCTAGACATAGCATTTTCGTATCCGTTCCTACGGAACGCAAAGCAAAGGTTCGCAGACGCGGTTGTATAGCTCAGTGGTAGAGCATTTGGCTGCAGATCAAGAGGTCTCTGGTTCAAACCCGGGTGTCCCCTTCCTCAGGGAAGTGAAGAGAAATATTTTTCTGAGAATTTTGAAGGCGGGAATGATTTGTTCCGTTATGCATATTTCTAGACAAAGGATTTTCACATCCATTACGGTGTGCGCGCGCATTGTAAAAATTTACCCTCATCCTATTTCTCTAACGCCCCCTAAAAAAATAACCAAAAATATCGAAATATTACGCATTTTCTTCACAACTACAACCTTGTTTTCACATAAATGAATATCAGACTACTAATTCTGTGCGTGTGCAATATCGCTCAGATCTGTAACACAATAGTTTCGGCCCCCTTGGATAATTCACATATTTTATCACTTCTTTTGATTGTACAATGCAACTTTATATTCTCAGTCTAATTAATTTCACCGTTAGGGAGACATAAAAAACAAAAACGTATACTATTTTGCTGGGTTGGCAATCGCTGAAAATATAGCGGATACAGTTTAAAAAATTTCTATTAAATACTGAAGAGTTCGAATTCAAACTTGTGAATACCGGTATACACAATTGTACAAATGGCTCAAATACCAGTATTCGGTATCCCGGTATACCGGTATTGAAACCCTTATCTCTACATAGTTGTAAATTGAAATAAAAAAAAATTGTTAAAAAATTTTAATAATGGAAGGCTTTTATTTCTGCGCATTAAATCTAATTTGAAATAAAAAAAGTAGCATTTAATTTTAAACTATTTAGTAAGCGAATCGGAATTAACCCCCACCTGAAAACTTCCCACATACGCAACTAGGGACTTTGAATTTAAAAGTTTTAAGGGCATCGGGCCCTCTACTTGACAGGTTTCGGTAAGGACTCTTGTCCCCAGTTTGATAGAAACATCGCCGATCAGGATTTGTCCCCATTTATTGGTTATACTTCCCGTCATGACCAGTACACATTCGTCCATATAATGGGTTGATTTGGAAAAAAAAATACTTAAAAGTTTTGGGGTTTTACATCTTTAGAAATTTTTTAATATGTCGTCTGAAATATTAAAAAAACATTCCTTCTGTTGATAGGCACAGCGTTCTATAGGCTTCACATGTATGGAATACATTGTTTTTTTTAAAAAAGATTTTTTTTCCTTTGATGTAGGGTTTTGAAAAAAAATAATAACCCAATTCAACACAGATTTTTTAATGTGTAGGAAAAATTTTACATAGACTTTAACAAAAACACATAAATTTAAACTTGTCTAAGCATAAGCATTGTTGAAAAAACATTATATTTTGAGCTCCCCATTAGAGAACCCCCCTTTGTTTACCACTATATTTTTTTTTAAAAAAATTTGATAATAATTCATTTCCTCCTTCATAAAATTTATAAAATACATTCATTTTTCCCAAGTTTTTTAATACATTTATTTCCCAAAGTGAATAACTACCGAAACCAAAATAATTTTAGTTGGGAAAAAAACCGAAAAATAATTTGATTTAGTTAAAAAAAAAGAAAAAAAACTTTATTTATTTATTGTATTGTATTAAAAAGGGATAAAACCGCCCAGAAAAAAAGTACCACGTGGCTATTGGTTACTCCAGCAATACTTGACATTTTCCGAATTTCAAGAAAGAAAAAAAAGTCCATAAAAATTTGGGCCCCCCCCCTTTTTTTTAACAATTTAGGAAGAAATTAAAAAATTGTTCCCTTTTTCTGAAAAATTCATTAACAGTAGAGGGGTTTGATTTTTCATTTTTTTCAATTCATTTTTTATTTTTATTGAAGGGTTTTAGCTAATTTTGAATGATGTTAGAGGAATGTTTAATCTTTATTATTTTAATTTTAGAAAGCCTGTTATTATTTAATTAAATTTTATCCCTTAACTTTAAAAAATTTATTATTATTAAATAATTAAATTAAATTTAAAATATATATATATAAAAAGGGTGTCTCAGTACCAGGTTCCCAGGTTCGAAAAGGGGAGGTAAAGCTACACGACTAAATGAATAACGATGCAAAAGGTAAAAAAATAATGTGTGATAGTGAATGTATCAGAAACACAAAAACAAAAAATGAATAAAGTGAATATCGGTGTATTATTCAAAACATAACAAAAATTCACGGAATGTGTCTATAATTTGAAAAAATATATATATAATATTCCAAACACTTTTACCATTTGTAAAGGGCGTAGCCCCTTTTCCCCAAATAAACATGAAAGGATACCCTTTTTTGCCCCAACAAACAACTTTTTTTAATCGGTGGCCCAAACGTCACACCATTAAAAAAACGACGCGTGGGAATTACTCACCACGTGATTTGTAACAAACTTTTCTAAAAAGTGAAATAACGCTGTAATACAGAAACGTTTTCGTTATCACTCTACTGTAAAAATTTATCACGTTATAGGCTCATTCTGAGAGTGGCTGCGGTAGCCGAGTGGTCAAGTTACCCGGTCGTGGCTGGCTTGTCACGAGTTCGAGCCCAGTAC